AGCGGTTTCTTATCTCCTTGAAACGAGAAACAGCAGTTCTGCAATACCTGAAACTGCATGTCAGGGGTGAGTGGGAAGCTGCCGACATCCAAGGCTGACTTCCCTATCCCACATCAAGATATAATCCACCCTAGTTCGCCGAGGCTTTTGATCCCTTTGAAAGTATCCTCTCGGTAGAAGCAAAGTCTGTCCGCAGTTACTGCTTGCCTTCCTTTAAAATAAATATTTCACCTCTGTAATGTCCAGGGCAACTTTGCTGAGGATGCAGCAGCACTTGATTAACCTGTCATGCTTTCACTGCACTTCTGAAAACACATCGTTATGTGGTATTTTGTCTAGCCGGATCCTCTAATCTTCCCCGAGTTTAAATAAATGCACTGCTATCCTAAGATGAAGAGACGAAAGGGGGAAAAAAAGAAAATTAAAAAAAAAGCAAGCACTCACCTGAAAAGGCTCCCACAGCCTTCTTGATATCCTCAGCGCTGAGCACGTCAGTCATAGCCATCCTGCAACTGTTTGAACAGGGAAGCAAGTGCAAAAAGATTAAAAAGTGCTTTTCTCATCATTTCTGCTCATATGACCAAAGCTGCAGTGCTGTGTGGGGATGGCACACCGGGAAAGGCTGGACCCGTGCCAGCTCTATAGCTCTGCGTGGATAAGTGCCAGGGGCTGTCGCTTTCCAGTTTGCAGAGCACCAAGTAGTCCACAGACGCGAGGGTTCGGCTAAAAGAGAGGGTATGGGGATGCCTTTGCGGGGATTGGGGTGGGGGAGAACGCGAATGGTGGGGGTCGTTCCCTGGGAGGTTGGAGCCCAAGCCTTACTGGAGCAGTGCCAGAGTCTGTCGTGATACCGGCTGGAGAAAGAGTTGTGCCAAGGTCAAGTTCTCGGGTGCACTGGAAGAGCTAGTGGTGCAGAGCAGAGCCTTTTCCTTTAGTAAGTCAGGACGAGCTTTACCAGTTATAGCCGGTGATGAGTAAGGAACTGCAGCATATGCCAAGCTTCAAGCTGCTCCTGAGGTCGGGAAGCAAATGTAGTGTAGCTTTTGAACATTTTCCTTATCGTTCAAACACTTTAAAAATCTTCCTCTTCCCCCTCCCCTTCACACACATATTCCTTTTAGACCTCGTTTCTTTCGGGCCAGTCCATATTAAGCATCATCCTCGCTGAATTAATTATCACATCCCTGCAAATCCTACAGATCCCGTTTGTAATGCACAATATGCTGCAGAATCATCTGCGACATGATATGGTGAAACGCGATGCGAGGTGACAAAGTGCTCGTGCGGAGCTCCCGTGCAGTGGTGGGTTTCTCAGGCGGTACCGGGCGCTTCCCGACATCGCCAAAAAGATTTAGGAATTGTAATGTGTTTTCTAGGTTTTGGTTTCTTCAAGAAACTGTGTCCATATGGCAAGTAGTCCAACTCGTTCTCAGGGTTTGGGCAGGAGCCATGAGGCTGAGACAGCCAAGGTTAGGGCCCAGTAGTAGGGCAGATCTCTGCAGGAGTATTGGCACCTCTGCTGAAGGAGAGACGGGGGAGGGCAAAGCGGCGAGATCCCCACGCTGCCATCCGCGGGTACAGCCCGATCCCGCTGACTCAATTGCACCCTTGTCCTGAAAGGGACCGCGAGAGACCGGCCTTAAAAAGGAGGCGGGTGCTGCAAAAAAACTCAGGTCGCTCTGTCAGTAATTCCTGGGCGCTTTTAAAAGTACGGGCCCCCATCGTTTTCTCCGCGGCCCAAGTTCAGCTATACCGCGTGAGTCATTGCATGCCACTGAGCGCAGAAGGACGAAGGAGGAGGTGAATTTGGGGTACCCCCCCCCTTTTTTTTTTCCCCTTTTCTTTTTTAAACAGCAACTCTTCGTTGTGGGAGGGACTCTTTTTCTCTCGTTGGAACTTTTTTTTCCCTATTTCTGTGTATTTGCTGAGATACAAGAGAGGCTTAGTTTTCTCCAAGCACAAACAAGGAGACGGATGGGGGAACCGAGTCCATCTCCTTAGGCTGAACGCATCTTTGCCTGATCGACAGGCAAAGAGGAGCTCTGCGCTAGGATGTTGACCCGAGATAAACCGCAGCCCCACAGAAGGGCTCTGCACACCTTCCCGCAGGGGCAGTTCTCGCTCAGCTGCCTCCGTTGTTTCGGAGCTGGGAGGTGAAAGGGTTGCAATAAAGGGAGCACTCGGGTTACTCGGGTTTCTTGCTTTAGCGGAGTTCAGCTTGGAGAAGGAGTTGAAAATGCCCCGTGTAGCACAGGTTAAAACCCGCCAGTCGTTAGTCTGCTTTACACTTGAGTTAAATGTAGACCCATCCACATACAGCTATTTACAAGAGAAATCAATGTTTGTGATCTGCTGTAATTGGCGCCCCTTTACTTTTCTTTAACCGGCGGAAGAGAGAGGAGTCCCCTCGCGTTTCCAGTGCGGACGCCTCCGGTCTGATACGCCATGGCCGTCCGCTTCCCTGCTGTGCCAAGTTCAGCGTCGGTGCAGTCCGCAAAGGAGCTGGGCCTCAGTCTCCACAGTTTCTTTTCTTTCTTGCCAACCTTTTGCAAACCCGTTGCTGAGGTTTCCTCGTTCTTGGAGCCACAGAGCCTCCTTTTAAGTCCTTACAAACGGGAACCAGTGAAGATGCTCTCGTTGCGAATGACTCGTGTTTCGCTGTCAACCCCTCTCTGCTGACAGAGCAGAGCACATTTGGAGGGCTGCCCCCGGAGGTAACTCAAGCCGGGAGCTGGCAGAGGCGATGCGCAGCGCTGCCTGCTGTGCTGGCAGACGCCAATCAGGTTAACGAGCCTCCTGCCAAGCAAACCGGCCAGAGGCGTGTAGCAACCCGGCGGCCGAGCCGCGTTCCGTGCCCGTGTCCTGGGGAAGCGAGCCTGGCAGCTCCCTCCGCATCCCTAACGACGCGCGAACGGCCCCGCTTTCCCTCGTCATCGGATCTGTCAGGCCGCTACGGCCTGATCGTGCTGTGAAGGCGAAAAGTGAGAGGTGCCAGAAAAATGAGGCTTCAGATCAGGTGGAGCCATTTGTACAGCGTAAATAACATTTCCCCCGGCTTCCCGTCCCTGCTCAGAAGTCGAGAGGCCGTACAGTCCACGGCCAGAGAAGGGAAAGCAGCGACAAGCAGTTGGGGATCTAACACGGAGGAGTGGCTGAGGCCCCTCTCTAAGATCAGCAGTGCATCCTTTTTAAGGACAGCTAGCAAACTTCTAGAAGCTTTTAACCACCAAGCTTTAGTTAAAGTTGTTATTTTAGTCTAATATAAAAGGCGTTTCACGAATTAGCAGTTTCACACTGGACCCTTCACCTTTTTCTCATCATCCCTGCAAGATGAATGACGCGTTTTGCTTTATTTCTGAGATTTTGCCAATTTTCCTGCCCGATCTATTTTCAAAATCCATACCGTAGATTTCCAAGTTGTCTGCACAGAAGCTTATGTATAGATCACCTCCCCCTTCCGCTAGCGCCGGAATGATGATATCCTTACTAAGTAAACGATTAAGTAAATAAAAGTAGAAATGAACCCGCCCTTGTCAAAAGCAAACAATTAAGGGAGAATTTCATGAACAGCAAGAAGCCCCCGCACCAAAAGCTGAAGCAGAAAGCCGGGAGTCCTTTGAAAAGGGTAACACATTTATCTTCCTAATGACCACACCAAGGAGAGCAACTTCATCCCACCGCTTACGATCCTCTGTGCATAAAGAGAGATTTCATTTCTGCGACGTGTTTGCAGGGAGGTTTTGCCTTTGGTTCCCGACTGAGCATTTCAGTAAATTCTGTTCGCCGAGTCCTTGCTCGCGTTCTCATTCACTTTCTCCCCTCTCCTTCCCTGTGTTGTTATTTCCATTTTCTCGCTTTCTCCCCTCCTTTTCTCCTCATTCACCCTCAATATGTTCACCTTTTAATGGCCCTTTCTTCTCGTTTTCAGTCTTCTCTGCGGGAAGCCATTCCTCTCTGTTTGGAAGATTTGCACCTCTTTGTCCCTGGCCTTTTGTTTGGGGGAAAGGGGATAGGGTCGGAGTGATGGAAGATGCCCTTATCTGCTTTCCTTCGGGTGAAGTTCCTCGGTTCTTGCCGGGAGCAATCCACGTCTGCTGCAGAAGTTTGAACATTTTCCTGCTACTTACCTTTTGGATCTCTCCTAAGCACGCTTGAAAAGGGTGTTAGATATGAAGGCGGTCAAAAAGAGATGGAACTCGGGGTAGGAACCCCACTTATATAATCTCTCTTGCTCTTTCTATTTTTGGCAGGTGATACCCACTCCTCACTGGTATCAGATATTCAGGAATTTTGTTAGCGGTGTCACATTTATCTTTCCCTTAACTAATCAAGGAACACTATTAATAATCCTTGGCGCTTACCTTCCCCTGGCTGTGAAAACCTATTACCTCGGCAAACTGACGGTCTGCTTGAAACTTTATTGTTAAGGATAGCGGCAGGCGGTATGAATCAGCTATTTGGGGGCAAATGGGCCCTTCGTTTTGCATCAGATGGAGGTGGCGTCGGAGAGATCTGTCACGATAAATCAGGAGGTTCAGTTCGAGAGATGGGACTCTGCTCAGGAGGAAGGGAATAGGAAGATGCAACCTCCTCATCAGAGTGAGGGAAAGTGAAGACACGCTCAGGAGTTTGCCCTTTTCTCTCTTTACCCCTGGCAGATGCTACTCGCAACAAGAGAGAACAGCCCTTAACTGCCTCCTGCACCTAAAGCTGCAGCAGTCAGCTTTAACTCCTGGCCTTGAAGGAAGACAGAAATAATTTCTCCTGCAGGCAACAGCAAACTTAATTTGTATAATTCTGTTTGCTCATACTTAAAGGGGCATCCAAAATCTCCTTTTTTGGGCCCCACTGGGCAAGGTGCTGTAGAAGTCTAAAAACTTACAACCTGAGCTTTCTTAGGAGAGGCAGAACATTGTAAATGAAGATATACTATACATACACTCAATACATTGACTGTAACTTTTTCAGCATATAAATTCTCTTTATGCTGAATTGCTCATTCCAGGGAAGGACACCTTTGAAGATATCTCTATTTTTACTCTGTCAAGCAATAACAACAACAATAAAAATGCCATTGAGATTTAGTTGCCATTCTGTAATCCATTTGGGGGCACTTTTTCTGATATTTAATGTTTTCTGGCAAGGGGAAACATTTTATAAAGGACTATGAATCACATTTATCTGCAATATATTTGTGAGTAAAAAAGATAAATCTTGTTTCAGGACTCAAACCCAACAGTTCATAGGTTAAAAAGCAACCAAGGCTGTTGTGATACAACTGAAATTATCTCTTGGGAAAGGCAGGTGCTCAAAAGTGAAATTTGATTTTTCTAACTTGATTAATTGATTCTAAAAGGGAGGAAAGGTAATTGAGGTGTGTACGGGATAAGAATATTTTAAAATATTTTTACTGTCAGTATCATTTTGATGCTGAGTTCTATGATAAATTGGAAATTCTCCAACAGCTTCAGATAATTTCTGAAGAGGAAGCTTCATTGAATCAAGCATGACAAAGGTTAATTCAATCAATTTCATGTTCACTCTCTTATTTATTTTTATTGCACTTCCTGTAGTGGTTTTTGAATTTTCATTGTGCTACAGTAGTAGGGGAAGTAATATTACCTTTCAGGTAGCCTCCTTTATTTCTCACAAACACTGTGTGTCCTACCTCAGAGCAGGTGAGCCTTTGTATTTACGATGTGAGATAGCTGACTCTTGTGGGCTCTGTGTTTCAACCAACTGGTGTGTTGCCTTTGGAGCAGTTTGATTCCCAGTATGCAGTTTGCTAAATTCAGTAATACGGGGTTTGCATTACACTTTCACGTATTATATACCCTTGATGTAGTACCAAGATTAGATTCTGGTTTAGAGATACCAGTATGT